CTAGAACTATGTAGACCAGGCTGGCCTTGAACCCACAGAGATCCACCTGCCTCTGCCTCCCGAGTGCTGGGATTAACAGCATGCGCCACCACACCTGGCTAGATTATGTGATTTTTAAAAATATTTATTAATATTTTATTTTATTTTATGTGTATAGTGTATTGCCTGCATGTGTGTGTGTGCCCATGTCATGCAGTGCCTGAGGAGGTCAGTAGATGGCATCAGATCCCCTGGAACTAAAGCTACAGGTAGTTGTTAATCACCATGTCAGTGCTGGGAATCGAACCCAGGTCCTCTGCAGAAGCAGTCAGTGCTCTTAACCACTGAGCCATCTCTCCAGCCCCATGCAATTTTTTTTTAATTGTTTTTTTATTTTGCTTCTGTGATGTTTTGCAGTGTTGAGAATTGAGCCCAGGGCCTTCAATATGTTACATGGTAGATGGTTTACCACTGAGCTGCCTTCAACTCCCAGCACAATTATATGATTTGTTACATTGTTCAATCCTATGATTCAGTAATCCATAAGAGAGAGAAGTATTCAATATTCTTACTTTGGCCCAGAGCTATTTTGTCATTTGAAACCCTGTAGCATTTTGGAAGTAGCTGTGAATTCACTCCAGTCATGTCTTTGTAGCAGTAGACAGAGGGACCTGACTATGAGACTGGAATTTTAGTTTTTTTTTCTCTTCACAGACTTAACTGTGGTTGTATGTTTGGTTTTTGTTTTTAATGTTTTTCCTTTGGTGGCAGAAATAAAGTAGAATAATACTTTTCTTTTAGAAAATTACAGTGCTTTTTTGGGGCGGGGGGGTCTTTTTGGGTCTTTTTGAGACTTTCTCCCTGCAGCCCCAGCTGGCGTGGAACTCCGTCCAGGCTGGCGTTCGCCTTCCTCTGCCTCCTCGCTTTCTCATTTTGAGTTGCTTTTCTTTTTATTTTATGTGTATGAGTGTATTGCCTGCATGTGTGTAAATGCACCCATGTCATGCAGTGCCCTCGGGAGGTCAGAAGAGGGCATTGGATCCCTGCAACTGGAGTAAGACCATTGTTAGCTGCCACGTGGGTGCTGGGAACCGAACCCAGGTCCTCTGCAAGAGCAGGCAGTGTTCTTCTCCAGCCCCTTTAGTTGCTTTTCTAATGAACTAAGGATTTTGCTGATCCATCAGCAAATCATCTCATGACCAATAACATACCACTTACAAGATAACCAAGATCAAGGTACAGTTTATGACTGTGGCCTAAATCAGATACTCACCTGATTTCCTGGCAAGTTTTTACACTGGTTTGATGCTTGGTCCCCACCCCAGATGAAGTAAGTAGTGATGTGAGGCTAACAGTAATACAGTCTCCTGTTCCCCCAACAGACATGGGCACCTGTATTTGTCTTACAAGGGAAGAATATAATGCTCATGGCAGTTGAGTAATTTCCTTTGAATCCTATTTAGAAATGGTGTGCGTGGTGCAAGCCTAGTTACCCGATGTCAGTTTCAGAGCACTGCATCCTTTTCTGTCACCCAGGAGGTTACTAGTGTTTCTTGTGAAAACTTTTTATTGGTGAAGTACTCATAGTCTAACCCTAAACTTTGTTTTACAGCCATCCTTTTCAAGGCCAGTACTCAATGTCAGACATGAAACTAAGATTCTCACAGTGAGTACTTAGAGAAAATAAGGGGAATTATTCTGTCTGCATTTATGCCGTGACTTCCATGCCAGTTGGGTATTCTGTTTTTCTACTTGATGGACTTGTGCCTCGTATAGTAACCAGATATGTTCATCACATTCTCTCATTCAACACTGTGTTGTTTCAGAATCATAGCTGTTCCATGTGCAACAGTATGAAACAACAGGATTTGCCAGTCCTGTTTTGAGGTGTCCAGCACACCATGTCTGTCAGGGAGATTCAACCTTACATTTTATGTCCTTACCTCTTTAGTTCATCTCTGTGTTCTTTTAGTACATTCCAAAATTTATTCATAACAAATAATTTAGCTTCTTGCTTTCTCAATACTAATTTGGTGTACTTATAAGCAGTTGGGCCGTGGGCATTTGCCCACCTTTGAGGTTTTTGTTTTTAACTTAACACAAGACATGGTGGCACATGCTTTTAATCTCAGTACTGGGGAAGGAGAGGTATAGGTGGGTCTCTGTGAGTTCAAGACCAGCCTGGTCTGTATATCAAATTCCAGGCCAACTGGGGCTACAAGGAGACCCTGTCTCAAAAAACAAAAACAAACAAATAAAAATGTACTTAACACGTCTTTCCTTTATTTAGTTCTGTTCAGAACAGTGAACGTGGTAAAAAAATCGGAAACGTCATGGTCACAACCAGCCGGAATGTTGTACAAACAGGAAAAGCTGTTGGTAAGGCATACCTTTAGCAGAAGCATATTGAGGTCATGTGTCACATTTTCTATCTCCAGTGTATAATTCATAAAAACATTAAGTTGTGGGGTGGAGAGATGGTCAGCGGTTAAGAGCACTGGCTGCTCTCACAGAGAACCTGGGTTCAGTTCCCAGCACCTAACACAGTGGCTAACAACCATCTGTAACCAGTTCCAGGGGATCCAATGCCCTCTTCTGACCTCTGCAGGTATTGCATGACATGGGTACACTTACACACATGCAGCAGTACACTCATATACATAAAATTGAAGTAATAATTGAAATATTTTAGAAAAACACTAAGTTGTGGAGATCTATGGATCATATAATAGTACAAAAGGGTATTTTAAGTTTTTGTCTTAAAGGAAGGATTGCTGGGTGTGGTGGCGCATGCCTTTAATCCCAGCACTTGGGAGGCAGAGGCAGGTGGATCTTTGTGAGTTCAAGGCCAGCCTGGTCTACATAGTTCCAGGACAGCTGGGGCTACAGGGAGACCGTGTCTCAAAAAGACCAAAAAAATAAATAAAGAAGGATTTATGTTGTCTAAATAGACTGATTTTTAAAAAAATTCAGATTACTAGTGTTAGGAATGAAAGGGGTGGTAACACTATAAGCTTTACAGAATCCAGAAGGACAAAGGTGTATTGTGAAAAAGTTCATGTCAACAAATTTGACAACAGAAATGAATGTAGAAATTCTTTGAAAGACACAAATTACCAAAACTAATGTATAAGAAATTTAAAAATTAGAGTAGCTCTTTATCTGCTAAAGAAATTAAAAACTCTGGCTGGACATGGTGGCACATGTCTTTAATCCCAGCATTCAGGAGGCAGAGGCAGAGGCAGGTGAGATTGAGGCCAGCCAGGTCTACATAGCTAGTTCCAGGCCAACTATGGCTACAGGGAGACCCTGACTCAAAAAAAAAAAAAAATTAAAAACGTTGGGCATGGTGGCATGCACCTTTAGTTCCAGCACTCTGGAGGCAGAGGCTGGTGGATCTCTGTAAGTTTGAGTCCAGGCTAGTCTACATAGTGAGTTCCAGGCCAGCTGGGACTGCAGGGAGACCCTGTCTCAAAAAGACCAAAAAATTAATTAAAAACCCTATGGCAAGATTTTTTTAACTTAATCCACATTCATATGACTTAACTTTGGATTCTTCTCTCCCTTCTTTTTTTTTGCTTTCTAGGCAGAGTCTCACTATGTACCCAAAATTAGCCTCAAACCCAGGATCCTCCTGTCTCAGCCTCCCAAGTGCTGTGATTACAGACTTCTCTTTGACTCCTTTTAAACACAAAGAAGAGAGAACATGAAACTTTTCAAAAAGTAGTGAATGAGGTAATACTCCCCAGCTCATTTGACAAAGCCAGTGTGTCCCAGATACCCCAATATTGTGGTGAAATGCCACATTCTTAGCATCCATTGAAGAGTGGGTGGGGCCCATCTCTCCTGAGAACTTGTTCCTTCCAATTTCTCTCGCAGCAGTGCTCCATAACAAAGGTCTTGCCTTCTCTGTATTGAAACTGTCCATCCTGCATGACATAGGGAAGATAACAGAGCCCTGTCAGCGAGGGGTTTCCCTTTCTGACCCTGCTGACTTAGATCACCACACCAGCACAAACAGATGTTATCAGTCTCACCACACCTGTTGTTTGGACATGGGATAACTCATTGCTTCCAGCTGCAGCTTCTATCAATGCTTTGATGTTTTCACAACACACACAAAAATCCTGTGTCAAGGGACATAAGGGATAAAGCTATGTTTAGGTTGTAGCCCAAGGCCTTGTAAACAAGCTGAGATGGTGTCCCAAAAAAGTCACTCCACAGGTCCCCCTTGTTTGTTTCATAAAAAAAAAAAAAAAAAAAAAAAAAAAACATGTCCATGTTTGTAGCAAAAGGCATTCCCAGAAAAGTCATTTCCACACCCAAAGCTAGAGGATAATGTTATGTATATTCTTCTGCACCTAGCTTTTTTCACTTGAAGTGTTTTGAAGATTATTCTTTGCTGAATCTCAAGAAATTCCCTTTTTTCTTCTCTTATGTTTTAAACTTTTGGTGTTGATATAATTTCAGACCTATATTACTTTTCTCATCACTTTGACCAAATACCTGACAGAAGCAACTTGAGGGGGGACTTAACTTTGACTCATGTCCTAGTGAACAGTCCCTCATGACATGTTCACAGCAATGAGAACAGCTGGCCAGTGCTCCTCCTGTCCTGGTGGATCAGGAAGCAGAAAGCTGAGCTAGAACCAGAAGCAGATAGAGCCTTAATTAAGGGCCCACCCCAACAACTCACTGCTTCCCTCTAGACCACAGATCCCAAAGTTCTATAACCCACCGAAATAGCACCACCAGCTGGGGACAGAGTGTACGAACATATGAGCCTGTATGTGACTCTTGATGTTCAAACCATAAAGAAACCTTGCAGCAGTGCAGAGTTCCAATAACCTTTCATTCAGAGCCTCTTTATATTCCTCTATTTATTTATTCATATTAATCTGCACAAATAGGGCATCTCTCTCCTTAGCTCATGGAAGTTGTTAACCTTTAATGAACAGAACTCAGAAGCCCAGTGTGAGGCAGTCTCTGTAGTAGCTAGCATTCTTTGCACCTGTATAAAGATGGTGAAAGGACCGCATAGACTCACTCTACAAGACAGGCACAGAACACACGGCCCTACTACTAGGTTCATTTTATTGCAGAGGAATGGAATTTGATATATAAGCTTTTATTTGTATACAATTACATATTTTATTGATTTTCAATTCTTATTTTAATAAAGAAATTAACTTCATTATAGATAATGTGTAATGTATTCACATTATAGTAGTGTTCCCCCTATCCAAGGGCGGTGATATATCCCAAGAGTCCGAGAATGCCCAAAACCACTGATATACCATATTTTTCCTTACACATACACTTGTGATAAACATTGACATGTAAATTAGACACGGTCAGAGATTAACAGCAGTAAGATGGAGTAGTTGTAACAATATGCTTTAATGGAGTTATAGAACTACATTCTGCTTACTTTCTCACTTCACAACTTCTCTTTGGCTTGCTCAAATTGCCAGCATCACTGCTCTGGCCCTTTTTAAGTAAAATAAGGATTACTGGAACACAGGCACTGTGACAACATGAGAGTCAATCTGATAAGCAGGTGTATACAGCGTGTATGTATTGGACAAAAGGAGGTACAGGGTAGGACTGAGCTGGAAAGGTGGCATGCTCTTACACTATCAGAATAGCCTGAAATTTAAAGCTTGCAAATGACTTCTTTTTCCCTTTTTTGGTCTTTTTGAGACAGGGTCTCCTTGTAGCCCCAGCTGGTCTAGAACTCACTGTGTAGACCAGGCTGGCCCTGAACGCACAGACATCCATCTGTCTCCCAAGTGCTGGTATTAAAACTATGCACCACCACACCCAGCATAGTGCTCTGCTCTTTATTTTTTTCTTTTTTTAATTTTATGTGTATGCATGTATTGCCTGCATGTAGTAAGTGCACATGTGTCATGCAATGCCCATGGAAGTCAGAAGAGGCTGTCAGATCCCCTGGGACTGGAGTTACGGACAGTTGTTGGTTGCCATGTGGGTGCTATGATTGACACTTGGGTCTTCTGCAAGAACAGCCAATGTTCTTAACCGCTGAGCCATCTCTCCAGCCTCAGTGCTCTGTATTTCTATGTTTAATGTAGTACAGTTTTAGATGACTAGCAAATTTCCTTAAGTCAGCCTTGAGCCACTCCCTGTATGAATGGTTATTAAATTGGCAACCTGATGCTTCAGGTACAAAGTATTTGACTATTTAGGCTCTCCAAATAACTTGGATCCACAGCCAGGATTGATAATGCTGTGGCTATTAAATAGTTTTATTAATCCCTACAAACTGCTTAGTGTGGGCTCCTATGGTAAGAAATACCTGGTTTCATTTAAAGACATTCCCATGAAAATTATTTTGAGTCGGAAGTTTAGGCAGTATTTTGGTAATTTGTTTCAGTGAGTTAACCTTATTCATGACTGTTGAATTTTCACTGTCTCTTAATGAATATAGGCTGAAGGTGTAGTTCAGTGGTACAGGACTTCCTAGCATGTACAAGGCCCTGAATTTCATTCCTAGCATGCAAAACAAACTTTTTTATAAAGTTCATATATTTTTCCTTTTTTCTTTTCTACCCAGGCCAGTCAGTCGGAGGAGCTTTTTCCAGTGCAAAGACAGCTATGTCTTCATGGCTGTCTACATTCACCACATCCACCCCCCAGAGCCTCCCTGAGCCACCTAATGGGAAGCCCTGAACCCGGAGGCAAGGGTTGCATTGTTTTCTTAGGTGTAAGTGCTCCCTGCCCCTCCGCTGCTCCCAGGGTCTCCTTCATCCACAGGCCATAGCCAGGGACCAGGATATCAAACTGTTTACATGGATGGGTGAGCTCTGTCTAAATGAGTGTGTGGACTGCTGAACAGAAGTCACAACCGTAGCAGAGATAGCTTTCCAGGTTGGGGCTTAATCTGACTACTTTTCATTCTGAGCCTAATTAGTGCACACACTGAACTTCTAGTGAATTTTAAGTTTGGAGAGTGTATATTTGTTTACTTTAGAATTTTCATATCTGTATATTTTGTTCTGTTTTGCCGTTTAAATATTTAGATGGTCATTGTAATGTATATTTACTAAAATTAAGTTATATTGCTATTTTACTTTCTCTAAAGTTAGCCCCGAATTTTGCTTGTAAAGTTAAGGGGCCAGGCAGTTCACCTTGTATTATTTTGCTCTGTTCTAGGATGAATTTTTGTGTTGTGTTTTTTTTAATCCACAAAACACATTTACCAGTTCACTTTGTCCCAGGACCATGACAGTCAGAGGGGGAAGCTCTGAGGATGGGATGTCGTTTAACATTAATCTCTTTCCTGGCAAAGTTGCTGTGAGGCAACACTATGCGTTCCTCTTCCTGACTGTGCAGATGAATGTTTAGGGAAGCAGCAGTGTGGCTCAGCAGTGTTGGTGATGTGTCTTTAGGCAGTGTTTTCACAGAGCCATGCATTAGCTTGATCTCCTCTAATGTGCAGTCTTTTCTAAAGTTATTTATTTTTATTTTATGTATATGAATGTTTTGCCTGCCCGTATGTAAGTGTACCACTTGTATGCAGTGCCCATGAGGGCCAGAAGAGGGTGTCAGATCCCCTGGAACTAGAGTTATGTACAGTTGTTAGCCACCATGTGGGTGCTGGGAACTGAACCTGGGTCCTCTGGAGGAGCAGCCAGTGCTCTTAACCACTGAGCCATCTCTCAGCCCCTGTGTTGCAGTCTTAATCAGCACTTTTTATCTACAGTTTGTGCCTTGGTTCTTCTTTGAGCAGTTTTCTGTTGGGTGTTAGGGACACATAGGCTTTCTCTTAGTCTTGTTCTGCATGAAGCCTTTCAAAGGCTCTTGGCCTTCCCATGTCCCTGACTGAAGTCCTCTTGTAGTCAAATGAATTCCTGCCACCTTCAGAAGAAAAGCAAAGTGATCAGTGAAGAATAAATAGATGTTGCAGCTTAGCTCACATTTAAAAAAGCAAGAAGCAGACCAAGGAGGTAACTTAGCGGGTAAGGACTTGCCAGGCTCATGAGTCAGCTAGCCTGGGACATGCAGAGAAATCTCAGAAACAAGAGAGACCCTCATCAGAACAAAGTGGAAGGCAGGAACCAACTGCTGAAAGCTGTTCTCTGACCTCCACATCTGTGCTTCCATGCATATGATTGCATTCACACATACTACATACACCAGAAAGAGAAGCAGGAAGCAAGAGAACAAGCTGACACCCATGCCATGAGCCACGTGTGATGAAGTTATACCTGGTTTATTGTTGCCACGGGCATGAGTTTGCCAACTTCTGATTGCTCTGCACAGCTGGAGCACATGTTGTTTGCTTCATAGCTGTCGTTTACTTTTCAAGGAAAGTCGAATGGGTGTTCTCAGGGAGTACTTGTGGAAACAGTCTTTTTCAGTAACAAAAAAACATAGAGAAAGCATTATGACTTGTTGATTTATAAAGTGACTCTCCTAAGGAGCATAATCTAATGTCCCTAAGTTTTGAAATTTGAGGATTTTACATAGACCACTAAATATGGAAACCTACTTGCATTTGAATACAATAACTTGAGAATTCAGTGATAACAGATTGATGGGCTTAAAGGGAGGGTGTCACTAATTCTCTTCAGCCAGGAAAGTTAACATCAGGAAATATTTGGAGAGAAGAAAGTAATGCCAGACAGAACTGGAAGGATACTTTAATCAATGCTCTGCGTTCTAAGACTGTAAAGAACTAATTTTTAAAGATATTTTATTTTTTTTATTTTATGTGTGTGAGTGTCCTGCCTGCATGTGTGTAAGTCCACCCATGTGTGCAGTGCCCACAGAGGCTACAAGAGGGTGTTGGAGCCCCTGGAACTAGGGTTAGTTACGAATGCTTTTTAGCTTTGTGTGGGTGCTGGAAACCAAACCCAGGTCCTCTGCAAGAGTAGCCAATACACTGAGCCATCTCTCCAGCCCCAAGAACGCATCCTTTTCATTTCATGTTAACACTGCTAAGAATTACTGTAGAGCCCTGAGAGGTTAACCAGCAAGATAATGACCCATTCTTTAATTTACATGACTGCAGAAGAATGCCAATCTCCCAGTACTCAAAAGCAGTAAACACTCACTTTGGAATCTACTTGGGGCAAAAAAAATGTGAAATAAAATTTAACTCAGCTTTAGTATCACATTCCCGTGTGTGTGTACATGTGCATGTGTGTCTGTGGGGTCGGGGGTTGCTTTGGTTTTGGTGAGAGAGGGTCTCTCTGTCTTGCCCAGGTAGTTCTCAAAATTCCCATCCCTCCACCTCAGTCTCCCGAATAACTGGGATTACAATACACACCACTGTTCTAGACTTGTGTATATTTTAATTGAATCTTCTCAATATTTGTAGTTGAGAATTTAACTCTGAAGGCGGGTCATGATGGCGCATGCCTTTATTCCTAGCACTGGGAGGCAGAGGCCAGCCTGGGCTATAAAGCAGTTTTCAGGCTAGCCACTGCTACATAGTGAGACCCTGTCTCAAACAAACAAATAATTTAATCTTAAAATAGTCACTTAACTGTTTTCAGCATAAAACTATCTGAGAATATCAAACTTCTATCAGAATGGTCAAGAGATTATAACTCTACTTCAGGTTCGGGGAAATGTTAGAGTTTCTAAGGGTGGTTGGCAGGGGCACTGAAGCTGATTCTAAGAACTGAGTATTTGCAACTAAGCCTGAGGGAACCAAAGTCAACCAGCATTTTTCAGGCTTGCAGAACTCAGATTCCATTGTAGACTGCTGGTGATGATAAGGAAGAGAATGAAAGCTGTGGGCCCCTGGGCTAGACACATAGAAACTGCCTGCCTCCTGACCCGTGTGAGTAGTCTATCCCCAAATCCATTACTGACTCACTAACTCCCAAGCCTGAAAACAGTTCTCATCTACGTGGTGGCACACGCCCTTAATCCCAGCCCTCAGGAGGCAGAGGCAGGAGGATCTCTGTGAGTTCAAGGCCAACTTGGGCTACATAGTGAGTTCCAGGCCAGCTGTACCTACAGGGAGACCCTGTCTCAAAAAGACAAGAAAAAAGAAAGTTTTCTTTGGCTGCAAAGCAGAGCTCAACTTCTTCAACCCTTCTACTTTCCAAGCTCTGTACTGCATGTTTACTATCTTAAATAACTTTCATTAGGAAACAAATTAGGAAAAGAAGAATGAGAAGTTGATAAATGACCGAGGAATCGGGGAATTAAAATCTAAATGGGGGTATTTTAAGTGCATTTAATCTGCTAAAAGTTAGGAGGTTTTTTTAGAAAGAAGTTAGAATCTTAATCTGTTGTTTATGCATTTCTGAATACAGCTATAGCCTTCTCTCCCTGGTGGTCAGTTTTATTGAAGTTACATATTCTGTGGGAGTTAACAGCCATTGGTCCTCTTCCCTCCAGTGTTAGTGATGAGCTTGGAAGTCCTGCAGGCCCCAGCATCCTTATCTGTAACCACAGGCACATTTCTGCTATCACCTCTGTGGAGGGCAACCTGTTAATCAGCAGCTGCTGACTGGTCTGTGGTGGGAGCTGCACTGGCCTGTTAGTATAGTGGGGTATTGGTTGGACCCCTGAAATGGCAATATTTGCATGCTCTGGATCTTGGGTGAGAAATGGCACATCATCCAGGGCTTTCTACCCCCATCCCTTCATGGACTTTAAGTAGGACAGAGTTACTTGAAGGTGACTGTCATTCCACATAACATAATGTGCCATGTAGGACTTTCTCATTCCAAGTCTTCAAACTTCATGACTTTGGAATTGTTTTTCCATAAGTTCAAACTTTCCACAAACATTTGTCATAGACAAAAGGAATTTGCATCTTTATTTTTTTCATATAAATAACTTTGTACTGACTTCTTGCTTCATTATGGAGAAGAAATTGGCTCCCTTTTAGGGTATTCCACTCCAATATTAAAAGGTTGTGCATGTCTAAGAAGTTGGATATATTTTGTAAAACTCTAAATACGTTTGTATTTCTGTGCTGTTCAGAAATTTACCTTTTTACTTATGCTAATTAAAGATACAGAAAATATATATATATTTAAATCACGTAAGTGGAACAATTTAGGGGGGGTTCCAATCCTATTTTTCATCAGCTTCTCATACATGTGGGATGCTGCTCAAATTTTTTGTGTGTGCAATATAAACATTTGAACATTTCAGTCAGGTACTGGGCCCGAAAAGGTCATTGGAAGTTTTCAGAAAGCTCTGTACTTAGAAAATATTTTGTTTTCTTGAAATACTGATATTTTGTACCTGAAAAACAAGATCAAGTACATGTTTCAGGCCATTTGATCATCAGTTCCTAAATTTAGGAAGTGTTTGGATAATGGGTTGGTGAAGGCACTTAGTGGTTGCAAAATAGTTTCTAAGGAAGTCTAACTATAGCACATATTTTTATCAGAAAAGTAGCCTCTCTCTGCTCTTGTAGTTTTGTAGTTTGTACTAGTTCATTTCTCTTGTCATTTTTTAATGTGTTAAGTTATAAATCATGTCTAATACGGAATTGTAGAACTTCTATTGTATATTTTAAGCCAAACATGATAATAAAATTATCCTGTTTCTCCTGCGCACAATTGCACTTGACCTCCTAGACTTATCCTGCGTGTTGTCTGTGTGATTTCTGGCCTTCACGACTGGGCAACAGTGCCAACGTTATTTGTCAAGAAAGCAGCACACAGGTGAGCTACAGGGCTCACTGCCGTTCAGCCTCTTCTGCCACTGCTTAAGGTGGGCCCTCAGCTTCCTAGGTGTGACCTCTGCAGGAAGAGCCCTGTGGCTCCCTGGAGCCCTGAAGGCATGATGCTGCACAAGCTCAAAAGAGGTTGGCTGCTTCATCACCTCAGTGACAAGGCCAGGAGAAACTATCCTGAGGCAGCCCATTTTTCCTCCTGGATGGGTAAGGTTCAAAATAGACCCAGCACTTCACTGAGCTCCACACATTTTCTGTGCACTCTTGTACAAAGCAGGGAAGCAGCAGATCATTGTCCTTCTCCCAGAATGTGTAAGTAATGTACAAGGTTAAGTGTTCTTTGACCTGATTGTAAGAGTTTGGGGGCTGTTGAGATAGTGAACCACCACCATCGTCCCTTTCCTGATGACCTGCTAGTTTGGTCCCTGTCACCACCCAGATAAGAGCTGCCTGCTGTTCACTGTTCACAGGACAGGAGTCACATGACTGAATCTGGTAGCATGTAGAAGAAACATGACCTCGGAGCCAGGCCTTCCCAAGGGTAGTCAGGTAGTCCACACAGGATTGTGGAAACACACTGACAAAACTGACTTGCCCAACTTCTCTGTCACCTGTCACCTCGAGCACGTGCACACACTTTCATGATCAAGAAATTGCCTGGCAAGGTTGTGCTCATGATCCTGGGAACAGCTGTGTTTGGAACCAGTGACAGCCAGCAGGTCACACACAGTTATGATTCAAATATTGTAGCTGATTTTCAGACCGTGCAGCACTGGTTGGTGTGCCTGCTCACTGTTAACAGGATGGCCGCAAACTCATGTCAGCCCTACCCCAGCCTCCTGAGTGCTGGGATTACAGGTATGCACCACCACACCTAGCTCCAGTAGCAAGGATTTTTTTGTTTTGTTTTGGTTTTTTGAAGCAGGGTCTCCCTGTAGCCCCAGCTGTCCTGGAACTCACTGTGTAGACCAGGCTGGTCTTGAACTCACAGAGATCCGCCTGCCTCTGCCTCCTGAGTGCTGGATTAAAGGCGTGCACCACCATGCCCGGGGTATGTTTAATGTATGTTTTGTTTATCATGGTTGCAGTCCTGGAGCTCAGAAATCTGGACTGAGGCCATGGAGAGAGGATGGAAAAAGATTTGATGGAATGTTGGTCAGGTTGAAGTTGAGTGACTTGGACACAAGCTCATTAGACTATTTTGCTTTTATGTATGTGTGGCAATTTATATAACAGCTTAAAACTGCAACAGAAGAAATCTCCAGAAACCCCCTCATCACCTGAAACCTTAGACAGCACCTTCACACTATTGCTTTCCCCTCCTTCAAGTTGCTTGAGATTATCAAGAGAGCTCATAATGCACAGCAATCAAAGGCCCATCTGTATGAGCATGGCATTGAGTAAAAATACGAAACACAACCAAGCCTAGGTTGTACCAGGATATTCCCAGCACCTAAAGAGCTCGCCATCTGGGCTCCACAACCATGCCTCACTCCTCCAGAAGTATTTAGTGTTCCAGCTTGTGATGACTGTCTCTGTATATGAGTCCTTCTGTGTATGTATCCCAGCAGTGCAAGTTGGATTGGACTGTTTTGCTCTTGAATGTGTGGAATCACACCATGTGTATTATGTCTTTTTCTGCTGAATACTGGCTTTTCGGGTGGTTATGGTCTCATGTCTTTCTGATACTGCCCTGTTGTATGAGTCTGCCACTGTTAATCCAGTCAGCTGTAGGTGGGCTTCAGAGGCATCTATAGGAGTTGCTTCCCATTTAGGGACTGGTGTGCACACAGGACTGCCCTGTGTGTTATAGTGTACTTTTCCCCTACGTCTGCATACATTTCATTAGGACATAAATGTGCAGGGGAGCTTTACGGCCCTGGGAGGATGGCATGACTCATTTTCAGAAATGCCATCTTGCTCTCCCGCCCCTGGGGAGTGAGGATCCCATCGTTCCATGCTTCCACCATTGGTGCTGTCAGGCTTAGATTTTTGCCAATGTGGTGGGTATTTCTTAGGCTTTAATATGCATTTTCCTGAATGTCGATAAAGTGAGAACCTCTTAAAGGATTAGCTCTTTCTGCCAGGCTGTTTTATAAGGGCACCTAGTCTATTGGTGAGGATTGCCTATTGCCCACAGTCAATACCCTTGCACTGGGGATCAAGTTTCATTTGAACTCTGGCACACATGAGTATGTATTCTGCATATTATTTGTCATTTAATGTGTTGCAAATATCTTCAGTAACTTCATGGTGTTTTAGTGAATAGAGTTTAAGTTTTTATTTTTAGGGGCTGGAGATATGGCTCAGCAGTTAAGAGCACTGGCTACTCTTGCAGAGGACTCAGGTTTGGTTCCCAGCACCCATATGGCAGCTAACAACTGTCCATAACTCCAGTTCCAGGGGACCTGATGCCTGTTTCTGACCTCTGCGGACATTGCACACATGGATGCCCTTATATGCAGGCAAAACACTCATACACAGAAAATAAAAAGAAAATAAATGTAAAACATCAGTGTGTTGGGTTGGCCTTAAAATACACTTAAGTTTTCATATTTTTTCAAGACAGGAACTGGGGACTGAGCATGGTGGCTTGCTCCTGTATCCCAGCATATGGAAAATGGAGTCAGGAGGATCTGGCATTCAAGGATCCTCAGCTACATAAAGAGTTTGAAGCCAGCCTGGGCTACATGAGACCCTGTCTCAAAACCCCACAAAACTTGGGGCTCTGTGGGTGTGCATGTGTGTGGTTTTTCCTTTCCCAGACTGGTCTTGAATACTTACAGTATTCTGTCATATCTGGTTTTTAAGCATGCAAGGGATGGAACCTAGGGTTTTGCATAATAGGCAAGAATTCTGCCACTGAGCTTCATCTCCAGCCTCCCCCAAGGCCCTTTTTGAGACAAGGGCTTGCTGTGATCTGGCTGTCCTCAACCTCCCCGTGTAGTTCAGGCTGGCTTCAGACTTGGGCACTCTCCCTGCCCCAGCATCTCAGGGCTCTGAGTGCTCGGTACAGGGGTGAGCCATCACACCTGGCTAAGGGTTGGAGCTTTAAAAAGGAAATGGAGCTTAATTCTCCCCTCAAAGATGGGCTGTCCTTAGTGACGCTTCTAATGACTGGAATCTGTGTGACTGCCTGAACAAGGACATGGGAGACAGCTTGTGCAAGGACTGCTTGCTCTAGAGCCCAGCTCCCTAAACTGTGGGTAACGACCCCAAATAGGGATGCATGATGGAATGTTGAGGTCATGAAAAAATTAACGACTATAAAGTTTCTGAACATACCACCATAAATTCAAAATCAAATGCTTCCTGGGTATGGTGGCGCACACCCTAGTCCCAGCAGTCCAGAGACAGGCAAAGGCAAGTGGATCTCCGAGTTCAAGGCCAGCTTGAGCTACATAGTGCTAAACCTGCTACGAGCTACACAGACATAATGAATTCAAGGTGCCCCCGGCACCCTCTGCTAGAGCTGCATCATGTGACTGTCTCAGCTTTAGTTCTGAGCACATGTGCACTCTGCCTTTTGTGTGCTATCATGCCAACAAAGCTGCTTGAAACACCTCAGCTTAGATTTGAGATTATTGTCTGTCAGGAAGTGTAGTGTTTTCACTGTACATACAAAGTGTTCGGCTCTTACAGAAACATAATGGTTTAATTAAAGACTTAATATTTTTCTATCTCCATACTTCAGCATGTATCGAATTAGTAGGCTTCGGATTGTACTGCATAAGAATGTGGGGATTGGGGTTTTTTGTTTTTGGGGGGGTGGGGTTGGTTTTTTGTTTGTTTTTTAGACAGGGTCTCCCTGTAACCCCAGCTGGTCTGGAACTCACTGTGGATACCAGCCTAGCCTCCTTCTCACAGAGATCCACCCACCTCTGCCTCCCGAGTTGCTGGAATTAAAGGTATGTGCATGTATCACCATGCCTGGCAACTTTTTGTTTTATTTTAAATTTTATCTGGGATGGGGAGGGACATGTCCATGCCATGGCTCATGTGTGCAGGTCAGAGGACAACTTTGGGGAGTTGGTTGTCTTCCCCCGACCAAGTGGTTCTTCAGATTGAACCCAGGTTGTCAGGGTTGGCTATGTTGCTGGCCCTGTTTATTTTTAAGACAGGGTCTCAGGTAGTACATGATGGCCTTGAACTTCTTATCCTCGTACCTCCCAAGCGCTGGGATTACAGGCGTACACCACCACCACATTTTATGGGGTGCTGAGGATCGAACCCAGGGCTCCATGTATGCCAGTGAAACACTCTACCAACTGTGGTATACTCTCAGCCTAGAACATTTGCTTGTAAAAATGGCTATTTGAGGGTCAGCAAGATGGCTCGGCAGCCAATTCTCTGCAGCAGGCCCGCCCCTCAGAGGAACAAGTACCCCACAGGCTGTTATTTGAAAGTGCGTAGGGTCAGCAGCTTTAGCAAATTGGCAGTTGTATGAGCATCACTATCCATCTTCCTAAACTGAAGCTCTGTTCCATCAAACCCTAACTCCCCACATCCCTTTCCCCTCAGCCCCTGGCAACCATTCTTCCACAGGCACCAAGAATTTGACTACGCTAGGAACCTCTTACGTGCAGTCGCAGTCACTGTGACCAACTTTCTTATCCGTCTTCAACATTCTTGTGTGTTGTTGCTCGGCGGAGTGTCCTCTCTGGCTACATAATACCCTATGTATACCTTCTCCCTTTCCTTCATCCACTCATCTAACCTGCGGTCACGTCTACCACCTGGTTGCTGTGAAATGTGCTGCTTTGAACACCCGGGCACAAACACCTCTTTGAATCCCTCTTTTGGTTTCAAACCTGAATCTACATTTGTTGAAGAAAGTTTGAATTCCTCTTGTCATCTAGGATTTAGTTTGGTGGTGGTTGGTATTTTTTGGCCTTTTTTGAGA